GGGGGGGTACCAATAACACCGATACCCTATGCATGCTGTCATCGCCAGCGTTTTACCACCATGGAGGTATGTGCGGCCTGCACTGCCCGCCAGCTCCCACCGTGTGGTTGGTCCTGTTTCGAGCTGTTTACGACACTGGCCGACCACTAACGCGTTTTACTCGCGAGAGTCGCAACAGACTAATACTCCAGACACTGCGCTCCATAGTGATTGGCAGGAAAGGGTAATGCAATAATTCACTCTAATTTCGTTTTACATATCAAAATTGTTTTTATTATGTTTACTTTCTTTCTGCGATGAGATTATCATCCTCTGATGGTTTGGTACACGATGGCGTAGATGTGGTTGATGGGGAATGGGCGGATGGTGGTGATGGTGGTGTTGGTGGTGATGATGACTTATTTGTACATGATGGTAACACTGCTCCGAGGCTGCTCGAGGAAGTCCCGGGCCTGAAATCGCAAAGAGACCCGTCACACATCAGTCACCTAGGGCTGTGCAATTATTCGATTAATCGAAAACTCAATTCGATTATTTTAAAAATCTCCTATTATTTACAGCCCTTCCCGCCTTCATTTAATTATTGCAACACACTGCGCCGGCAAATGCGCGGTGTGGGCTCCACCAACGGAATCCCGATCTGATCTGGGGTAGCGCGGGGCCGCGCGTCCGCGTTGCCAACATATGTCACACGGCCCCACCCCGAGCGAGCATCGGCCGTGCGCACTAACTGAACCGGGCACTGCTCACTGCCCAGTACTGCGGGCTACTCAACTCACCGTTGAGACTAGATTGGAGGGACGCTGGGGTCCGCGCCGCCGCTCGGCCATGTTGAGCTCCTCAGTCCCAGTCCCAGCCGTGGTGGCTGCTGATGACGGGGTGGTGCTCCTCGTGGTGGTGCTCCTTGATGTACACGGGCACGTGCACCTTCTTGACGTGGTGGTGGTGCACGGTGTGCACGTGGTAGGGCACGTGGATGATGTAGTGCGTGCTGCGCAGGACAAGGCCGAGGTTAGTCACACAATTGGTTCACGCGCGGAAGAGTCCAATACAGTCACCTCGCGATAAGTGTCCGCTCGATAAGTGTACGTTTTAGGTCCGGGCCCTCGGCTCAGAAATGTTGCAAGTTTACTCGCCACTCCCCTAAGCCGGTGTGATTGACGGGTCATCCAGTGCGTGGAGCCCTGGCTCGACCATGGCTGGACCCGAGCCTGGGATCGGACTGGGCCAGGCGCGCCGACAATGCCGACGGGCACCTAGCTTGCCGTGGCTTACCTGAGAAC